TTGAGAGTCGGATTGGGATATGCATGATTGTCGACAGCTGGACGTGTAGTAAGCACTTCGGCCGGGACATACGAGAAAGTCGTGCTACTGGCTGCGCAGGGAAGTCGAATGATATTTGTACAGTATACGGTGCTAGGATGTGTGCCATCAACTGTACTAGGCAAGAGTTGAAGTGGGAGCGATGCGCGTGGTTGGAGCAGGAACCGTTGGAGGACCTGTGTGAAGAGCTGCTGTAGAAGCTCTGGCCGGAGCTGCAGTGAGAACTGTATAAGGACAAGTTGTGAGGGGATTGTCTCACTGGCTATACAGGAGCTATAGTACGCCTTGCATTGGGAGTTATCGGTTGGGGCAGTCGTAAGAGCTGTAGTAAGAGTTGCGCTGCTGCCTGCAGTAGGAACTGTAATTCGGGCTGTAATTGCGGCTGTGACAGGGAACTGGAGTAGGACCTGGACGAACATGCGCAGTATACGTTGTAGTGCGTGGTGTAGTGAGAGAGAGAGAGAGAGAGAGAGAGAGAGAGCTGTTCGTCGTAGTAAGAGGTGTTGGTTGTTTTTGTTGTTGCCCCAATGGTGTTTGCAAAGCTTCTGCCGCCAGAATTTATGTTTATTTGGTGTGGATTAGTTGGTATGTGTGTTCGTTTGGTTTTCCAGCGCCATCTTCCACCCACCCTCATCATTCCTTCTCTTCCTGCTCCTTCTCCTCCTCCCCCTCTCCTCTTGCTGCTCTCCTTCTCCTCCTCCTCTTCCTCCTCCTCCTAATTCCTCGTGAGGAAGAGGAGGGAACTGCTGATGATGAAGGGGAGGACGAGGAGATGATTCCGCGCGGAAGTCCCACAACTTTCATTCAAATTCACACGGTTTTGGGGGGAAATCTTGAGGGTCGGTGGGGCTGGCTACGAACCGACGCCTAACTTCGCAGATTCTCGCAGGTTTCTTGGGTCGGCTCTGCAACCCCCATTACCCACTATTTCTTGGGCGCGTGGGGCGCACCAGAGGCGTCTCCCGAGGTACCGACGGGGGGCTGCGCACCAACCCCAGAAATCCGCGCGGACCTCCGAAGGCTTGTTGTTGAAGACGTAGCCCGCTGGTGTTCTCAAGTGTCCCGCTGGTCTCCATCCCTCGCTCCTTGACTGGCTCCAGCGGGGAGGCGTGAAGCCTCACATGGTTGCTGGATATGTTGGCGACGAAGATTTTGCGAGGATCCTGAACGAGGCCCCATAGAGCATGCTCGTCGTGAAACACAGCACAGTCGGGTAGCAGCCAGGGAGCGTCGGCCGTTGTTGCGGAGTGGCATCTCTGTTTACAAACGGATTGGTAAATGACAGCGGCTTCAGAGCGGGCGCGGCGTTCAACACCTGATATGTTTTTTGCGGTCGTCATTTGATACGTTTGTGTTTCTAGGAAGCTGTGGCAACAGCCATCAGTCCTTGGAACATGCATGCCTGCAGCAACGTAGCAGGACACGAGTGTGTTTGATTGTCTGGTTGATGCTACGGTCGTTGCAGATAAGTCACGCCGAAGGCAGGTCTCATTGAGTAGCACATAGGAGGCACAGCACGGGTACAACGGACATTTGCAAGTTATGATGCATCGCAGCCGCCGTGCATTTGTAAAGCATCGTCAGCTCCTGTCGCAGAGACGCTGGTTTCTGGGGGGGAAACGTCGAGGAGGTGGAAATGTCGAATGTGTTTCCATTTCGCTGCGAGGCAGGAGCCAGACGGATTGAACCTTGTTGGGGGATCGTGACATCACTTAATACCTGGTAGCAGGACGGCGCCAGTGTGAGGTCGGCGGGCAGGACGTGACAGCCTGCTGTTTTTATGACCAGCAGCGCTTGTTGCCCTGGCGGGAAAAGGGCATTGATGGAGCGGGTTCTTGCACGCCGGGGCGCCCCCCAGGAACAGATTCTCAAGCGGAGCCGTTTTTCGACGGCACTGGGGCCTGGGAAGGGCCCGGGAGGCTTGGAAGGTGTGTCTGCGTGGTGGGGGCGAAATTTGCTCATGGTGTACAGTCGGCACGGATTAGTAGGTCGACCCTGCCAAATCAAGGGTGCCCTTGTGTCCTGTGCCTCGCGACACGTGCCGTCTTCCACTCCTATGGCGATGTGGCCCCCGGAAGGGTCTTGTGTCCTCTCGCGTGTCTTGTCCAGCCAAGGCCGACTGTATGTTCTTCATGTCGAGGAGTTGGTCGCTCAGTCGGGTCCGAGCGCGTGCGGCCCTCGGTTGACGCCGCGGGAGCTCTGCGATGGGGGAGAGGAGGGCCCGAGACCGTCGGCCCTTGCCCGCGCTTCGAGGTGGCACCAACCAAACCGCATCCTCCTCCTCGTCCTTGTCCTACTCTTACTGCTGCTTCTCCTCCTCCTCCTCCTCCTCCTCCTCCTCCTCCTCGCTCCTCCTCCTCGCTCCTCCTCCCTCGCTCCTCCTCCTCCTCCTCCTCTTCCTCCTCCTCCTCCTCCTCCTCCTCCTCCTCCTCTCCTCCTCCTCCTCCCCCTCCTCCTCCTCCTCCTCCCCTTCCTCCTCCTCTTTTTTCTCCTCCTCCTCCTCCTCCTCCCCTCCTCCCCTCCGCCTCCTCTTTCCCCCCCCCCCCCCATGCTTCCCCCGCATCCCGCCCAGACAAAATTCATGGTCGATTCCCGTGAAAATCTGGGAGAATATGGGAAGTGTGGGGGGGGAAGACGAAACCCCAGAAAAAACTATGAGAAAATATTGGGGAATCCTGGTATCTGTGTCTATTTGTCTCTGTGTGTTCCAGGGCCCCTCCAGCCAGTCGCCTCCAGCAGAGACCGCTTCGGGAGAGCCTCGGGTCGGCGGGCCGCCGTGCCAGGGGGGGGGGCCTGGCGGCGCCCGCAGAGCTGGGCGCGGCAGCGTTCTGCCCTCGGGGCGTTTCCTCGCGCGGCTTCGGGCCCGGGGCTGAAATCGGGCGTGTCCCTCTACAGGAGGAATATGGGAGAATAGTCGAAAAATAGTCTTGGGGACGATTTTTCGACTATTTTGGGCCACTTTGCTTGTTCTTACTACTTTTCATTTCTCGTCCAAAATCCCCCTGCAGGAAGACATGCCCGACCTCGCCCGGGGGCCAGCACGGGTCGATCTGGACGCGCAAAGTGCCGCAGACAGGCGTGGTCTTCGGACGGGGCTGGGACGAGGACCTAAATCCGTTCCAGAGCGGAGCGCAGTCTTTGCACTGTGGGCGTTCTCGCGTGGGTTCGGGCCTGGGGGGCCACGACGGGTCCATCTGGACGCGGAAATTGCCGCAGACAGACGTGGTCTTCGGACGGGGCTGGGACGAGGACCTGAATCCGTTCCAGAGCGCTCCAGAACGCTCTCAGGGCGTTCCGGGACGCTCCGAGAAGGCGCCCGAGACATCCTCCGGAGCCGCTGGACCTCAGAGGTTCTCGATGTTTACCCTCGTCCGGCGTTGCCCCTGTCCTGCCTTCGTCCTGGGTCCGGGGCTCTGGCCGTGATCTGCCGCGATTGCTGCAGCTTCGCTTTTGGGAGCGCCTGGAAGCGCTTGGGAGCGCCTGGGAGCGCTTCGAAGGATTGCAAAAAACGAAGGATTGCAAAAAAAACCGATCGAAGGATTGCAAAAAAACCTTGGATTGCAAAAGATTGCAAAAACCCTTCAAAAAAAACGAAGGATTGCAATCCTTAAAAAAAAACGAAGGATTGCAATCCTGGGAGCACCTGGGAGCGCCTGGGAGCGCCTGGGAGCGCTTGTCGCAGCGTCGGGCCTCGGGGGAGGGCGCCTCGCCTTCGGTGCCCGCCGGCGGGGGCCGGCGGGAGCTGGGCGGCGGCGGGGCCGCCGGCGGAGCAGGCGCCGGCCGGCGGCAGGAAGAGGTTCCCCCCTCCAGGTCGACTAGGCTCACGTCGGGCTGGTCCCTCTAAAACGACGCGAAGATCGGGACAAAATCGGATCGGGATAATTCGAAATCTCTGAGAATCGGCGGGTTTGGAGGATGTATTCGGCGCCGCGGCCGCTCCAGAGCGTTCCGGAACGCTCTGAGAGCGATTTATCCCGATCCTAGCCCTGTTTTACCCTCTACAGGGGGGATGTGCCGAGATAGTCCAGAAATAGTATGGGGACGATTCTTTGATCATTTGTTTGGCCATTTGGGGGTACTTTTGGAGCAGTTTTCACTCTTCGGCCAAAATCCCCCTGTACGGGGACAGGCCCGACCTGAGACTAGACGTAAGAGTGACCTGTCGCAGGAGTGACCTTTGGTGCGGGCACGGATGGGCCCCCAGATGTCTGAGAACGAAGCAGTAGCAGCTGGTTGCGCGCCCAGGTTTGGTCCCCCCGCGCCCCCCCAAAAGCTGCGCACCAAAGGTCACTCTTACCCAGGGTCGCTCTTGCGTATAGCCGACCAGGAGATGGAAATTTTGTTTGGGGGTTCAGGGTTCGCCGAGCGCGTTCCACGACTCGTAAAGTGCCTACCCGCAGACGTCCTCAAAACCATACGTCTGCCTCTGTGCAGTCTACCGTGAATGCCCTGCGGCGGATCCAGGCCAGTTGCGAGTAGCTACTCTGCGAGCAGTGGAGCGCGCTTGTCTAAGGCGTCCAGGGCGAGCCATGTGGCGCCGGCCGCTCGAAGGGTCTGCGGCCAGAGGGGCTCTGCGGCCCGAGGCGATCTGTGCGTGCTCCTGGTCCGTCTGTGGCCTCTGGAGGCGTCCACAGGCCCCCAGAGGCCTCCAGAGGCCTCTGGAGCTGATCGCAGGACCTCCAGCCAGAAGGGCCCAGACATGCTTCGTCACGGGAGGATGGGAGGGGGACTTCCACGCTCTTCGACCTTGCGGGCCGCCTGGGGCCGCGCTCTGTTGCCGTGCAGCGTTCCGAAGTTCACAGCTCCTGCTATCCTTCTCGGTGCAGCGCTGGTCTCTGCGTGGACTTGCCGCGAGGCTGCCAACGCTCGGCCGGAGCCGCTGGAGCCGCCCAAGAAGCGGAAGCTGTTCGGACTGCGCTGAGCGCCGCCCGCGCAGTCCTAATTTTGCTGCCTTCCCTTCGATGCTGCAGATTCGGAGGGCCCTGGATGGTCTATCCTTCAAGTCGGGCGTGTCCCTCTGCAGGAGGAGTATTCAAAAATGGTATTACAAGAAATCGTCTGGGGACGATGTTTGGGGGCTATGTGGATATTGCTTCGTGCATTTCTGGCATCTGCTCAATCTCTCTTTCGAGCTCCGGCTGCAGGAGGACATGCCCGACCTCAGCCTGTCCCACGCGGACCTCCGTCGGCGCTCCGCACGGCCGCGCGGGGACGGCACGCCCACGGGGTGCGCCCCGCCCGGCCTCCCAGGCCGCAGGGCCGCTGCGCGGGGCCCGCCACCGGGCCGCCTCGCGAGCGCCGCGCCTGCCGGCCCGTGCTCGGCGGCGTTCGGTTCCACGCCGCGGTGCCCAGCGGAGCGCGGTGGGACCCCACGGGGCGCTGGAAAAGATGTCGGGCCCGCGCCCGGCAGGCTCCCGGGCCTGCGGCGAGCGGAGGTAGTCCCTCCCAGCGTTTTCGTGCCTCGATGCCGGCCACCCATGGGGCCATGCCTGGGCCCCGGGGGGCCATCAGCGAAGGGGTCTGGGGCGAACCGTTGGGCCCAGGGGAGGGGTCGGGATCTCTGGGGCCGCGCACTGCGGGGCCTCTCGGGGGTGATGCGCATTCCGGGTTCTGGTTCTCTGCGGTTGGCGCGGGGAGGGCTGGGTCCGCGCCGAGCAGCTCTGCACTTCCTGGCGCTCGCCGCTGCAGGTCAAGCGAGGTGCTGTGGGACACCTTGTCAGCCGTGGTGCGTCAGAGCCGCCTGAGCGTGTGGCCGCTGTGCCTTCCGCGTGCCGTCTCTGTGGGAGACGTTCGTTCCAAGAAAGTACCGTGCCACTTCCTGTTTGTGTTGTCAGTCGGCGTTGGCCTAGAGCGCGGCGCATAATGGCAACGCCTTCTTTGACATATATGGACGTACAGAGAGGGTGACTCGAGGCGGATGGCAGAGGATCCTACCTGTCGGTTTTACTCTTCAGTCGAATGTCCCCGTTGAGACCTCTTTGCACCTGATCTCGCTCAGAGTAAAAGAAGCACCTGACTCTGCTGCACGCCATTGCCCTCATTTTCACCTTAGCTATTTCTTTGGAGCGCCGAGGGCCCTTCCGTTGGCCATTGCTCGGCTCGGGTCGGAAACTTCTTGGCTGGGAAGGTGCCCATGATTGGCATGGGGAGCCGTTGTCTCAGTGGAGTCGAGGACTGCATGTTTTGAGCACCACTCTCCGTTTCGATCTGGTCGCCCGCGGTTTCGTTCAAAGAAGGCACTATGCTGAAGCGAATGATGATGCCCCTGTGCGTTTTGCATCAGCCTCCTGACCTGTGTCGAACAAGTGTTGGTAGACAAGCGCTTTGACTAAAGTTGAATGTATTACACCATCAGGTTTGCATTATTGATTTCACGGGCGGGACGCGGTCCTGAGAGCAATACTATGTTGCCCTAGCAGCGGCGGCAGCACAACACAGCCATAGCGTGCGTGCACACTTGGGTAGCTGCGTCATTGGATGTCAGTCTCAGTGATACGGTCCCCCTTGTCAGCCTTGACTGCGAAGCATGTGTAGACATTTTGTCGTGAAGCCACCGCTTCCACGGATTCAATGATAGAACTGCCGAGTATCAGTATTGGCGCAGACTTTCAAAGAAAGGCCTCCCTCTGGGAATCTTCAGACCTTGCTCGCCGACGCGCAACAATCATTGTACATACATTGATGTGCCGCAGCCTCGATGCTGCTCAACGCCAGGCTTCTTCGAGTCCCCGCGCCATGCAGCATGGCCATCCCTCTCCAGCACGGCCCCAGCCACTGTGTGGCTGTTGCGAGCAGAGCACCACGGAGGCACACTTCGAGACCATCTCAATGGCTTCGCCTCTCGAAGCCGCTTGTGCGACATATAGCGTGCGTGGGGAATGTATACATGAGTCGCTGGTGAGGCCGGTAACCTTGCTCCAGGTCGGGTATGGATATTTCGGCCGCGGCGAACTCCACTGGGCAGCCCGTGCCGCAAGGGCTCCGTGTGACATCGTTCGAAGGAGAACAAACGCAATAAACATAAACTTTTGGCGCTCCACGCGGATTTCCTGGATCTGCGCTGGGGCCCCCTGGCGGCGCCTCCAGAGCCGCCCCTGGCGCGCTCCGCGCGCCAGGAAGGAGGGTCCAGCGCAGATCCAAGAAATCCGCGCGGAGCGCCAAACGTTTATGTTTATGCCGGTTCTTTCTTCTTCTAAGCGTCAGGGCTGGTGAGCTGCACATTGTCTCGTGTGTGTGTGTGTGTGTGTGTGTGTCGGGTCGTGTGTCGCGCCTGGGTGTGCCACGCTATGACTGGTATCGTTTAACCGATCCCCATCCCCATCTCCATCCCCTTCGAGACCCCCACCAAATGACCACCCCAGTTGGGGACACACCCCTCGAAGCCCGAAGAGAACGACCAATGTCCCCATCTAGGGGGGTCAACCGGCCAGCGGGGCCCAGGCCACGCCGCTGGGGATGGGGATCGGTGAAACGATACTCATATGGCATGCGCGCCCGAGTGCCGCAGGAAGAGCTCCGTGTGTGGCATCGTCAGGGCGCCGGCGAGCTGCACCCACTGTCGTGCCAGTCTTCGTGGCGATTGTGCGGTCCCGCCGTGGTGCCGCGCACGAGTGCCGCGCGCTGTGCGCGCCACGCCGCACCCCGCCGTCCTCGCCTCGCCGTGGCGTGCTGACGCTGATTTTGATGATGATGGATGCACCTTTTCATAGCGCCAACATCGCAGGGCGGATTTCGCTCGGAAAGCGATGGGATGGACCCGGATTCCTGGAGAACTTTGCTCCAGATTTCGAGGTGAACTTCGTGTGGATTTTTTGGCCAAGAATGAAAACCAAAAAGAACCCACGCTAAATTCACTTCGTTGTTCGCTCGCCGTGTCAAGGAAAGCCACGCAGAAGTCCACGCCGAAATCCGCTGCAGCACGCCTGCAAGGCCAGTGCAAGGAGATGACGGATGCACCTTCCTCGCTGAAGCTCCGGGGCCTCGTGGCACGGGTGTGCCTGGCCCCCTGTCGGGTGTTGCTAGAAGCGCCCCTGGCCCTACGCCACTACGCCTCCCTGACAGAGACGAGGCTGCGCGAGAGTTCTCAGGGCAGGGAGTGGCCAGAGATAACTCCTGACTCGAGCCTCCCGCATTCGCGCTGGAGTTGCCCCGGATTGCGCTCCACCCGAGCTGTCCCGGATCACGTTCTGCCCCAGTTTCGGGTGTTGCCAGAAGTGCCCCTGGCCCAAGGTGCCCCCAGCTTTTGGCTTCATCTTGGAGCCCCCATGGGTCCCTCTGGGCCTCGTCAGGGGTGCCCTGGAGGCCGTCTGGGCCACCCCGAGAATCCCGGGGGGCACCTTTGGGCCAGGGGCACTGCTAGCAACACCCGGCCCTGGGACCCTGCAGGCCCAGGAGTGGCCTCGCGGGCCATGGGCGCCCCGGGCCAACGTGCCTATGGAAATGCCGCGGTGCCCCGCCGCCCTCGCCTCGCCGTGGCGTGCCGCCTCGTGCCAGGAAGGATGCGCGCCGCGGCTGCCGCGCGGGCCGCGGCTGCCGCGGCGCGCGCCGGGCTGCGCGGGCCGTGCCGCGCGATCCGTGCGCTCCGTGCGTGTCACGGGGGAGACAAAACGAGAAGAAGAATAATTATAATAATAAGAAGAAGAAGACGCATAGCAAAATTAAGGATAATAATGCTAATAATAATCATATTAATCATAACACTAATAATAATAATAATAATAATAATAATGATAACAATAATAATGATAATAATAGTAATACTGATAATAAAAAAGAAGAAGAAGGAGAAGAAGAAGAATAACAAGCGGCAGTCACGTCAACTTCCGGAGCTCCGCGCGGGTTTCTTGGATCGGCGCCGGGGACCCCCCTCCCTGGCGGCGCCTCTCGCGCTGCCTCTGGCGCGATCCGCGCGCCAGGGAGGGGGGGTCCCGGGTCGATGCAAGAAGCCCGCGCGGAGTTTTGGAAATTGATGCTACTGATGTTTGTTGTTCTTTTCGTATCATCATTATTATCACGGTGCTTATTCTTATGATGGGTCTTCTTCGCATTAGTATCTTCATTATTCTTCGCATTCTTCTGATTGTTGTTCTAATTTTGTGTCGTGCGTGCGCTGTCGTGTGCTTCGTGCCAGGGACGCGCCCAGGTCGCGCCGTGGGGCTCATGTCTCGCCTCAGTTCAGGGGGCATCGGCTCACCACCTCACCAGCCTTCGGCCTGGGATCGGTGGCTGCGCCTTTCGGCCAGGCCAGGAGGGCGTATTCACCGCTCCGGAGCCAAGGATGGGCCCTGGCCAGGATCGGTGAGGTGGCCGGTTGATGTCCCCGATTGAGGCTTGCAGGGCGCGTTTGGGCCTCGACCCTGGCGGAGTTCGCGCGGCGCAGTCCCGACTTGCACGGGTCTCGTTTCGCCCGGCTCGATTCGCCCGGCTCCGCCCACCACCCCCGACCCGCCCGTTCGGGTCCGCCCGCCCGACCCGACCCGCCCGTCCGTTAGGGCTCGCGCGCGCTAACTCGATGATGCGTCGTATCTTAATGTCCCGCCAGGCCGACCCGACCCGCCCCTTACGTTAGGGCCCGCCCGCCCGACCCAACGCGCCCATTAGGGTCCGCCCTCGTGCTTTCCCCCCCTCCTCCCCGGAGATCCGACGTCGTTATTTTTTCAATACGGGGTCCCCGGAAGTCTCGCTCCATTCCCCAGCACCGGACTTTCATCCTGAGACCGAAAATTGCGAAAAGTGTTCGTCAAGATTGTTTCAATGCGTTGGATCTCTGGGTCCTCCTCCCGAGTCGTTTTTTGACGGTCCCGGGACTGGCTTTTCATCCCGAGTCGTTTTTTGACGGTGCGCGGGCCGTGCCGTGCGCGTCGCTGCGAGGCAGCGTGCTGCTCGGGACCCTCCCGTCGGGCCGGACGAAAGGGGGGGATAATCGGAAGGGGGGGGGGGTACGAAATCTGTTGCGTGCAGCTGGTTTCTGCCCCACCGAGAGGCCCACTCCTCGAGATGCATGGCCACCTCCCGGCGCCGGGAGGCGCCAGGAAAATCAGCAACGCGAGCTGATCCTCAAACCCCCCCTTTGCTATCCCCCCCTTTCGCCCGGCCCGATCCTGCAGCAGGCGCACCAGAGCAGAGCCCCGAGTTATCAGGGCGCCCGCCCCTATCATTAAGTCGGGAATGCCCCTCTAGAGGAGGAATATGCAAAAATGGGCACAAACACAGTCTAGGGACGATTCGTTTTTTATTACAAAAAGAAGAAACAACAAAATAGAAGGTTGTGTTGATTATTTGGGGGTATCTTGTGAGTATTTTCAATCTTTCGCCCAACATCCGCATGTGGGGGGACACGCCCGACCTAACCCTGTCAGCTGGAATGGTGCGTGGCCGAAAGAAATTGGTGACCGAAAGCATGCCCGAGTCGTTTCACGGCTTGCTAGTCGTTTCATGGCTTGCTTTTTATGGCTCCCTTGGGGTATTCAGTGTCTCCGCGGATCAGTGGCCGGTTGTTCTCCCTTACGTTTCAGGTTGTAGCGCAGCTTCGCTGACGTGTAATTATTACAGGCATTGAAGCTGAGGTGGTCAGATGTTTCGCGGAGAGGAAACAAGTTGACCGAAAGCATGCCCGAGACTAACCGGCATCGCAATGTGACCGAAGTTGAAGTTCGCTTTTTGGTTTCAGATCGAGGATTTGGGTCACACTCTGGCGCGTTTGGAAATTCTGGCGCCGGTGTCGGTCATACTCGCGCAGATTTTGGGACACAGTTTCGGCCACTACGCCCCCCTGACAGAGACGAGGCTGCGCGAGAGTTCTCAGGGCAGGGAGTGGCCAGGGATAACTCCTGACTCGAGCCTCCTGTTGCTAGAAGTGCCCCTGGCCCAAGGTGCCCCCAGCTTTTTGCTTCATTTTGGAGCCCCTGGGGCCCTCTGGGCCTCGTGAGGGGTGCCCTGGAGGCCGTCTGGGCCACCCCGCGAATCCTGGGGATACCTTGGGCCAGGGCTACTTCTAGCAGCAGGTCGGTACTGTCCATTAAGGGTTGTACCGGATCAAGCGGTTCCGTGCCGATGCGTCGTTGTGAAGTATCGTGTTGTTCAGGGCCCTCCCATGAGTTCGGATCCGTCGTGCATTGGGCGATGTTACACGTAGGGCAGAGATTCCTGCCCCGCTTTTCGGGCTCCTATGATGTCGATTGCCGCCTTACTTTGCCGTTGCCGTTCCGCTTCTGCGGCGGAAATGTCCGCTCTGCGTTTCTGCATCGTCTTGGGTGCGTTCCCGACACAATGTTGAGTGTCAAAACACACCGAAGTACTGCGGATCCGAAATCGGCGTTGCGCGTCGTTGTGTGGCATCGTGTTGTTTAGGGTCACTCTGCAGAAGGCGCACCACATAGGGATCGAACCACAAACAAAATGCGTAAATATAACATCTCCGACGTCCACGTGGGATTCTTGGATCGGCGCTGGGCCCCCCTTGCGGCGCCTCCGGCGCCGCCCTTGGCGCGCTCCGCGCGCCAGGGAGGGGAGTCCAGCGCCGATCCAAGAAATCCGCGCGGACCTCCGAGAAGCTATGTGTATGCGTGCTTCCCCGCGCACAGAGGGCTTACCAGCCAGCGCGTGCCCCGCGAGGACTTCTTGGCTCCCGAGGGCCCCGCAGAGCCCCGGGGGCGCCTCGCAAAGCTCGGAACCGACGAAGGGTGTGCCCCTAGATTTCTCGCTGCGGGAGTTCTTGTGCATTTGCCCAGTGCACAAAGTATTATTTCACAAGAGACTGCTGACTACGAGGTCCTTGGCGGACGCAAGGGACTGTCGTCGGGGAGCATGCCCGAAGCGCCCCAATGTCTGTAGCAGTTGGCACTCGCAATGGGTCGAGCCCTTGAAAGCAGGGCTCGAGCGGATCCGAGACAAGTTGGACAGGCTGGACCACCAGGTTCAGACCTCCTCCTCCTGCTCCTGCTCCTCCTCCTTCCCTTCCTCCCTTGCTCCCGCAGATCTCCGACGTGTTGTCTGTGTGTTTCCACATACGAGGTCCCTAGAAGTCCCGACCTCTCCACCAGGGGCCGATGTGCTCCATCTCGAACGGCGCTCTGGTGCTCTCGGTGTCCGGGAAGGGTCCACGAATGCCGAAATGGAGGAACCACAAAAACAAATTCTTCCCCCGCCTCGTCCTCCTCCTCCTCCTCTTCCTCGTCGTCCTCATCCTCCTCGTCCTCCTCGTCCTCCTCGTCTGCCTCATCTGCCTCTTCTTCCTCCTCCTCCTCCTCTTCCTGATCGCCCTCCTCTGCCTCCTCTTCGTCCTCCTGGTCCTTGTCCTCCTCTTCCTCTCATTCGTCTCCCTCGTCCTCTTACTCCTCGTCCTCCCCAGCCAGGTTCATCAGCTGGACGATGCGGGAGCTGGCGCTGCCCCGGCGCCCCTTTTCCAGGGGCCTCTTGCTTGTCCTGTTCCTCCTCTGTCCTCCGTCGTCCTCCTCCTCCTCCTTTTCCTCCTCGTTCCTCCTCCTCCTCGTTCCTCCTCCTCCTCCTCCTCCTCCTGTTCCTCCTTGTTCCTCCTCCTCCTCCTCTTCCCCATATTCCTTCCTCCTCTTCGTTCCGCCTCGTCCTGCCTCCTCGTCCCTCCGTATCTTTCATCCTCCTCGTCCTTCTTCCTTTCTCTTACTCCTCGTCCTTCTTCCTGCTTCCTCCTCTTCCGTTCTCCTCTTCGTTCGTCTTTGTCCTCCTCCCCCTCTTCTTTCCTTCCGTCTTTCCTTCCTTCCTCCTCTTCCTCATTCCTCCTCGTAGTTTGCTTTCCCCTCCCATAAAAAAAAAACGTGGCAACGGGGTGGCGCTTCAGAGAGCCTCCTGGGGCTGCCCCAAAGCATCCAGAAGACCCCAGGGACCTTGCGATGGGTCTCCTTCCTCCTCCTGCTCCCTCTCCTCCTTCGCTACGCTTGAAACTGTGACGAATCCAGAAGACATCAGATGACCGCACTGTCTATCACGCTCAATTGCAATCGCGATGAAGGAATTATCAGCAGAACCTGATGCCACTCCTCCTCGTCGGTCGGTCGGTCGAAACGAGGGCAGTCGAAGCTAAATGAAGATTGTGAGACGAGAAGAACGCTTGATACAGAATGAGGCAGCAACACATCCACGAGGTGACATAACGAGGGCCAGCGCCATAAGCGCGGACACGCTCAGGTAGTGGACTGGCCAACAAAGGGGTATTATTGCTTAGAGCCGATGGACACTTGAGGAGGGGAGGGGCATAGCAGTATACAACGGAGAAAGACGAGACCATTCCCCGAACGTACAGCCAATGTGTTACTGCCAGGGGCGCTGCAGGATCCAAGTGGGATCTCCTGCGTACCATGCAACTACTGCCAAAAAGGTGGCGCGCGTGGCGGAGACCTTGGGCTCCGCAATCCTCCATCGCATAGCCATTCAAAAATACATGCGCGATGCGGTGATAAATCCTACAGTTCGGCTCTGCAGCTCCAGGTTAACATAAGCAGGAGGTTGGAGAAAGGGACGGACCAAAACACAACGCACGTCGCAGGCCAGGCTCCGTGTGGATGGTGGCATCGTGCAGCACAGTGTCCATGACAATCCCTCCAACCATGTAGGGAACCCAGATCGCAACAGACCGTCGTAGCCCCCAATGACACACCCAAGCCATGGTCACAACCGCGAAGATCCATCAATGCCCTCACCGCTCGCTCGTCGTTGTGGGTCCAATCAGGTGGTGGCCGGTCAACAGCAGGATACGGTGGGGGCGTTCGTTAAGGAATGCGTCCAGGAGGCTTCAGACCCTGGAGGGTTCCTTATCTGATGAGTGCGGCGGTGAGATCCATGGCCAGTCCACGATTGGCTTTCCACTGGCTTTCAAACCTTGGCTTCCTTATCGAAAACATGAATTCGTACACACGGGCCGTTGCCCCCGAAGAGAGAAGAAAATGCCATCACCGTGTGAACGGGTCAGGATTCCAACAGAGTCCGGGGAAACAGTCACGATCCTTCCAGAGCAGACTCGCCGACGACGACGACGGCGACGGCGACGACGACGGCGACGACAACGATGACAGCGACGGCGACGGCGACGGCGGTATTGCCGACAACAAAGGCGACGACCTCGACGACGACAACGACGGCGACGGCAACGGCGGCGACGGCGACGGCCACGGCGACGGCGACGGCGATGACGACGACGACGACGGCGATGACGCTACCGACGACGACGGCGACGGCAAGAACAACGACGACGACGGCGACGGCGACGGGGACGACGAATTGGCAAGGCATGGACGAGTAGGTCTCGGCCTGTGCAGTGCGCCACGAGCCATCGGCGCCAGCCCGCGAGTACCCGAGGAGGCCTCGAGTGCGTGCGTCTGCCTCCTCCCCCCCTTGCAGCAAGGATGGTCGTCGTCGTCTCTCTTGCCTCCTCCCTCTTCGCACCTCAGAGGCTGAACATGCTGTCAGTTGAAGCGTTTTCGTTCCTCAGAGGTTGAAAATGCTGTCAGTTACAGCGATGGAAGAAAAGCGGACTGCCCAATGGGTAGTCGGTTTAATCACCCGGGCGCCAAACATGAACTCGTGAATACAGTGGGCCCACTAGTGCTCGAACTTGTTGCAATTGGGGGGCCTTCTGGGAGCCTTCGGGGCGCCCTCATGGTCCAGAAGCCTGCGGTTGGCGGCCCGCACGACGATGACGCCGTCGGAGAGGGCGTTTCTGCAAGTTCTCGTCGCCACGCTTGGTCAAAGCTCGGAACGTTGGCCACGTCCAAGGACCCGCTTTGAACGGATGATTGTCGGTCGAGGGGCGAGGGGGAGGTCTCTAAGAACACAAGGGCGGTCTTAGAAGCCGTCCCACCTTCAAGACGCCTCATGCCGATCACTTCAGGGCCCTCCTGCGTGCTGCCAATGCACCGAGGGGGGGTGGAGCAGGAGTTTAGTTGATCTGCGCGAGGTGGTGCAGGACCGCCCAGAATGATAGCGAGGGAAGCCCCCTTCCGCTGAACAGGCCCCCCAGACCTTTCCGCCAGCTTGCAGTCCTGTCCCACACTGTGACCGAGTAGGGGGCCCCATCTGGTCCCGCTGACTGGCCAACGGCTCGCGGCGCTTTGCCACTGACGGCGTTTCTCCCGCAGCGGGCGGGATCGCGGACAAGTACAAGATGGCTGCCGAGGATATGCTCAGCGAGCTGAACGACAAGGAGGCGAGAGCCAAGGCCAAGCTGCAAGACATCAAGGTCGAGAGGCACGCCTTGGAGGAGAAGGCGTCCTCTTCTGTTTCGGGGGAAACCCTTGGCATCGCTCGGACGTGTGCATTTTCCCTTCGGCGAGGAACATCGAGGAGCATCCTGGATCATTTGCCGAAACAACCACGCACGAAACCGAAAAAACACAGGGAATGGACGTCCGAGCGATGGCCAGGGGGAGACCGCGTCGTCGTTTTGTCGCAGCGGCAGGTGGCATTGCAGCGAACTCAGTGCAACAAGCACAGAGCACATGTTGGCAGCAACGGCCGCAGAGGAAGCGGTGTCAGGCTGCTCACCGACAGTGCTACCTCGTCCCCCAGGGGTGAGCAACCTTTTATCATGTTCGGAAATGAAAGAGTCAACACTTACCGAGGTGAACCGGGAGAAATTCCGGCAAGCGATGGAGCCGAAGAAGATCAATTCGTTGCCAAAGCAATGAGGAATGTAAGCCGATGAAGATCAGTTGTTTGCCAAGCGTTGAGGTGCCAGAGCCACCGTCCTCAGACCTCTAGCGATGCGCTTTTGTTTCGCATCGCGCCCTCTTGGAGGTTTAGACCACTTCCACGGGACCCTCGTCTCATCCTGAGTCGTCCTCCTGACGGATCCAGGGGGCCGAAGGCAACCAAACTCTTTCCGCCGTGGTTGGTTCACGAGGCGAGGAGGTACAGCACAGTCAAGACGCTGAGTCAGGGACCACTTGTGGCGGCTCAGGAGGCTATCTGGTTGTCGGGCCGTTCCATAGTCAGGAGGGAGAGAAACACACAGACACAATTAATCGTCGACTCCCAAGAAAATATGGAAACATATGGGAAGTGGGGGGGATCGGGCGTGGTCCCGCCAGAAGGGGGGGCGATGCTGCGCGCTGGCCGGGCTGCGGCCCCATCCCGTGGTGTCCGTCGCGGGGGGGGGCCGCAGTGGTTGGAGGTCGTCGAGCTCTGAGGCGGCGGAAGGACTGCGGAACCCATTGCACGGAAGGTTTCCTAGTGGCGGGGTGCCAGGCCAGCGGTGTGGTGCGCTATGTCTTGGGACTCGAGATTCGCATGCCGAGGACTGTGCGGGTCTCGGGGGAAACCGCGCCAGCCTCGGCCCAGTTCGGAGGCCTCCCCCCCCCTCCCCTCCCCTCCCCGCGGCCGCCGCCGCCGCCGCCGTCGTTCCTAG